CCATAGACCTCCATTATTTGAATGTCAGCAGACAGCAAGAAGCCTCCCAGATCTCCAGATGCATTTGAGATATCAAAAAAGTACTCCAGAGTGTTGTTCAGCATGGGGGTGAGTAGAAAATGAAGGCTAATCATGTTTTGGGTGTACTATTCCTTTAAGACGTGATTTAATGAAATGACAAAAAACAGCCTATTAGTAAACTTTTATCAAACAGACTTTATTATTTCCAATAATCCTTTATTTGCCAGTGTGTGACTTCATGTAACTTCATGGCAATGGACCAATATAAATAGTAACATTACCCTGAAAAAAGCCTTCCTATTAATAACATCCTTATTCTAATAACATTGACCTTCAACTACCTTCAATTGCTGCTACTGAAGTTTGACATGAAACCCAATAAATGTGGGTGAATTTCAGCACTGGTGGATTGCAGGGCCACAGAAGCTGCGTTTCCAACCATAAAATTCTGCAAATTTTAATTATGAAAATAAATTTTGCTTAAAGGCAATACTGCAATTTAAAAAAAAATGTAAACTTTTCGATAAAAAAGTTTTTATGCTTCGGTGAAGTAGTTGGTCTGCCGCAATAAAATTCTTATAGTAAGCAAAACTACAATGAAAAATGTGTTTTTTTGCATCACAAAAGTTATGTTATGTTCTAATGGACCTTACTGCCTTGTAATGAGATTAAGAAGAAGTTTGGAAGTAGATGGAGGATGATGTTGTCCAATAGAGCGATGGCCAAAATACGGATATATCTCGGTTGTTTACTTCCAGCACTGTCGTGTTTTGATTAACTTTTTATTTAATGGAAACACAGCAACTGCAAAAGTTGGATTTTTCCAAATTAGTAGAATATCAACCTAGTTTTATAAAACATTTGTAATGGAAATGCACCTATCGACGACTGAGTTCAGTTTTGTATAATTTTTTCTAGGTGATTTCTTAAATGGCATCTTAATTGATAAAGAAATTTAACTATAGCACTGCCTGCACAGCTAAGATACTGCCTTGCTTAATTGTCTGATGATGACAGACATTTCAGAAGACAGACGGTTCCTGTGGAGAAGATGTTTTGAAGTGGTGAGGGGGGCAATATGGCAGAACACTCAAAAAAAGACCATTAAACATAAAGTGAAAGAGAGCGGGCCGAGAATGGTTTGGAATGACCCAACGAAGAATGGTTTCTCAATGGTTCCCAATGAAATAATGGTTTCTCTGAGTATACTGAATTCTAATTCTCCTGCGATTCTCTGTGTGAGAATTTGTGCCTAAAAAGTGAAACAAACAGCTGCAGCTGATCCAGAAGGCTGCTGCCTGTGTCCTCACTAGAACTCAGAAATTGTTGAAAATCAGCCCGGTTCTGAAGTCCTTCCACTGGCTCCTTGTATCAGAGAAAAGCATTTAAAATATTTACAGTATGTTGGTCTAAAAAATCACTAAAAAACAGCCAGACCCCAGGTGTACTGGATCAAATTTGCTCTGCAGAACCAGAACCAGAAATGGAGAAGGAACTTTTAGTTCTTATGCTCCACTAATATGGAGCCTAGTCAGAAGTTCAACTGAAGAAACTAAATTCTTTACTACATCCACCTGCGACACAGCCAATCAGCTTTGATCCACATCTCCACGAAAGCCAATCGGCATCCAAAGTTCATCTTAAAAGCCTCCGATATGCACCTGTCTGCTCCTGTGCACAGGCGGTGGATGTGCTGTGTGACTTAATCCAGATGACACCGTTTCAACCCACCTCCAGCCCCTCCTGCATCATCGTAGCTAAAGCTTCATCA